GATACTCCTGTAAACAGACAAATACTCAGTGCTTTGAGTGCTGTGATAGTGACATGCACGGGGTACTATAGAACCGTACTCCAAGGGCTTGCGGAAGGCTTTCCTGAAGGAAATCATGCACAAATTGTGTTGTAAAGGTTAGGAATTCGTGAGGCCGGGGCAGAGGACCCAAGAGAACGGGTGGGATTTCAAGTTTAGGAAACTGAGTGCTGGGGAACTACCAGCGGGTAAAATATTGCTGCAGCTTAAAGCTTGAATGAAGGTGCTTAGAAGCAGGTTGGAACTAGGGCCACAGAGAGCTTTGCCTTATATACAGAGGCTAAGAACTTGATCCTCAAAATGAAGGTGCGATGTAGCTTGTGGCACAATCTTGTGATCGATAAAGGTGAGGTAATATAACATGGCATACAAATAAAATAATTAACTGTATTGACTCATTCATATTGTTCCCATTGTTGTCTGTATGTATCCCGTGTCTACCAAGCATGAAGATAGGAAAGAAGGTTCTACAGTTCTTAAATCTTCATTTTGGTATGATTTCCTCCTTTAGGTATTTTTTTCTTCCTCCCTGGTTTTCTAGATTACCTAATCTAACCTGTTGATGGCGCCAGTGATTCTGTCTGGACCATAAAGTGGGGGTTCCCAACTACTCCAGATTTGCTCTGGTCGTAATACACAAGAAGGCAGCATTTTCCCAACTTTGTTGATTGTGAACTCTCTTCACTGCAATTACCAACTCCACCCCCACAAAAAAACCAGAATAACCTGTTCATTAAGTAAAGCCGAGTTTCTTGCAGCACCAAAGGAGACTACTTTGATATAATCTTAGTAGTGTCTCAGAGAGGAGGTCAAGAGTGATTTTTATAGGGTTCTGTAGTTTAGATTAGAGTGGTTTAAGATGGCCTTCTCAATGTAGGGATCTCATAGGATTGGGCATGGTTCATAGTATAATAGTTTGAGACTGGTGCACCCAATAAGGTAAAGGAAGTGGAGGCAGATCTGGCCCCTTCTTTTTTGTTAAGGAAGGGTTGCCCAATTGAGTGATCAGTCAACTTCTCAGTGCAACCTACTGTTCAGATAAATGTATTTTCAGGAAGTTGCTAACGTTCACAATGAAGGTTTATATTCATTTTCAACCTATCTTTGTGGGCAAGAATTTCTTGGAACAAATAGTAAAGTCATGTTGATTAATGTGAATGTCTTAGCTCTTAGTGGTGATAGGCTATGGGCTGCAGGTGTCTCGGTTGTTTTTTGTTTTTTGGGTTTTTTTGGCAGTACGGAGATCCAAACCCTTGACCTCAGATATCTCAGTTCTTACAATAAAATCTATGTCTCTCTCTTTTTTGGTGGCTGGCCAATATAGGGATCAAACACCAGACTTTAGTGTTATCAGCACCATGCTCTAACCAACTGAGTAACCAGCCAGCCCAGTAAAACCTTATGAGCATTTCTTCATATGTGTGGTATATAAGGAAGAGATTTTTAAATCTAGATAGCATATTTTAAACCATTCTCTATTAACATTTTTAAAAGACATTTTCTTAACAATGCAAGCTTTATATATAAAAATGTATATGTAAAAATCAACAAATTTTAAAATTACAAATAATTATATTTGGTTGGGGAGCAAATTTTTATTAAAATGTGGCCTGAATTGTATGTATTAAGTGTATCCAAACTG